TGTAAAATTTAGAGATAGGAAGAAAAGCTTCAAAGATTATGTGTTATGGCCTCAAGCTCACACCATGCAGACATCTAGTACCCCAGTCAAGAGATTAAATGCATTAGTTAAAGCTAAACTCAGAAAACAAACAAAGCAACCAAGAAAAACAAATTTCTCAAATCCAGAATTTGAGAGTCCCCCAACAGTACAATCAAAGGATCTAACTCAACAGAGCCATTTTGGAGAAAAAAAAATTACTCATATAAAAAAATAATGTTTGTCAACTAATCCCAACTTTTATCTAAATGATCATAATCCTCTTTGTCTACTTCCAAAACTTATTTTCAACAAGGCATCTGGATAGTATGTCCTCCTGAAGCTGCTGCTAAGGCCAAAGCATTACTGAATGCTCTCTACCAAATTCCATTGGCTCTGTCAGGACACACGAGCTCAATATAACTGAGGTTTAGTTCAGTCTGTCAGCATCCATACTTCAACAGTGTTTCCAGCAGCTGACCAAAGGCACTAGGTGATTACAGTCACCCTCCATCCTTACGCTAGCAGCATTTATTCACTTTTTACCATCAAGCCCTACACAAATGTTCTGCACATATTTTGCCTTTTACAAATATTAGGAAAGCTTAAAAGCCACGGCTTGAACAATGATAATTGTGTACTATAAAAATTAAATCCCATTAAAACCATGATTCAGAAAATTTAAGGGAAATTAAAGTTCTACCAATATAACATAATTAAACAAATTCTTGGCTCTTCCCCCTAAAACAACCAAGGGCTTAATTCACTTGCTAGCACTCCTAGGTCAGTCACAGACTGTGGCTGAGATCAGCATCTCCAGACACTTCCCACCCTGTCCTCCCCCCTGCTCAAGAGACAGCAAACACAAATACCGACAGAAAGTTAGCAGTAGAACACTTTCCAATGTTCTACTTCCATTTTTAATGATCCAAGATTATTATTACACTTACAAAAACCAACAAAACAGCCTCACAGTACTTCCCCACCCCCTCCACAGAATAAAGGTCGGCTAGGCATGAGAACACACCTCTTGATGTGTGAAAATGTAAAGGAAGTGGTTTCTGACAAGATTGAGGTCCTGAGAACTGTCCTATCTGTTAAGAACAGTTTTCCTAGAAGCCAGACTAACCGGTGAGTCCAGCAAGCAACAGGAACACTGGAACACAGACAGCACACTCTGCAGTTAACAGAGATGTGTGTGTATCTCACAGACAACACCTTTCACTGTTAAAATCTAAGAGCTAATGAGTTCAATGGATTTGTAGTTTCATTTCTTTTGCTAGTACTGTAAACCAAAGGAGAGTTTTAAGTAACTAATTTATAAGCATTATTATTATGTTACTTTCGTGAAGAACAGTTTGATAGCAAAAGCTCTAAGGTTTTTTTTCCTCCTAAAAATTTGGACAATAGAAATAATTGGACAATAAGAAAAAATCTAGTTTGTTATCTGGCATCCACAAGTTCGATAAGTGGCTCCCTCTCCTGGAAAAAAACTGAAAGGTGAGTTGGTCTTTCAGTTTTGAGCACTAGCTCCTTAAAAACACTTCTCTAAACTACATGAAGCAAAAACATGCATCGGTAAGGAAGTAGCTGGGAGTGACCAATATCTCAATACTACCATGACAGCTGGCTTTCTACCTACTAGATGTATAGTCTGCACAGCTAACAGCAATGCTCATCATGATCTGATTTACCATATAAACAGTACTGGAGTACAAATGTGGATCTACTTCCCAACTTATTGATTTATGCCATCAACAATTCTCAGTCACACCACTCAGATTTTCAAGCTCACTTTCAAAGATCAAGTGTTTCCCTTGAAGCAGCTATTCCAGGATCTTAGGTCCAACTCAATCCACTCGGGAAAAAAGAGAAAGAAAAGCTGCTATCACACTGGTAAAAACTCCAAAAGTATCTTTTACAAGTATGTAACAAAATGAAGTATTATTACTACCCCTGAAAACTGGACTGTCTAAATAGAAGATGCAATTTACAAGTGCCACAGTCTAGCACACGTTTCCTCACACTCTACATCTATCCTGAACTCTAGGTGACCTAATCATCCAACCAGAGTGATGTGCCATTAGGTTTCAAGTAAGGTGAGGAAAATGTCACATTTTGCCATGTCATCACCAAAGATGAAAATAAGCAGTGTGGAGAATTTAGTCAGGAAACAAGACACAAACACACTTGACTATCTCAACTGCAAAACAAGCTGAAACTGCCAAGGCTGTTCAGACACAAAAACTCCCTGAAGAGGCAGCTCTGCTGGGTGGAAATTACACATCAAAGTTTCTCAAGTTCAGATGCCAATGCTTATAAAGAAGCAAACACAATGTTTCTAAATATTAATCTTAAAAATCAGTTGTTCCTAACACAACTTTACTCAGAATCGACCTGATAAAAACTGTTCAAAAGACACTCAGTATTTTAAATGCAAGCAGTGCTACACTTTGGCACCCCAGAGAACTGGACTATCAACTCAGCCAAGACACCGCCAAGGTCTTACCAGGGACCAACCTTGCTAACAGCTTGGGGGGTGGGGCGGTTGAGGTGGGGTCATGCTGAGGGATCCAACTTTTAGAGACTCACCAGTCTTGAAACTAATGAATAGAACAATTCTCCAAGGTAAGCATAACCTTTTACTATCGATTAGAGATAAAACAGTATGTATTAAACAACCCGAACTTTAAAACTGACCCATCAGATGTATCCTAACCAAATCTTCCTGTTGTGTGATGGGGCTAGTCAAGGCTGGTTTCACTCGACTGAGACGTAGACAACAAAACAACAACAAGAAAAAAAAAAACACGGTAAATACAGTACATTCCTATTCACAGTTTAATCAACAACAAAAACACGGTCCAAACCCTCTAGCCATTAGTGACATTCTTAGCGGAAAAGGGTTTGAACTATACAATCAATTACTTGGGGGTAATTTAAAATCACTTTCCCTAGTGCTTGACTTACAGAACTGGTAACTTTTCCTGCGGTCAAGAGGGCTCACACTCCCACTCTGCAATCACTGCCCGAGGGCACAGCACTTTAGCCGGCGGGGGGGGGGGCGGGGTGTGTAAAAACACAATTTACTCCAAAGATAAACGGGATTTTTATCTTTATCTTTTTCCTTCCTGCGGCCACCAGTAAAAAGATTCCATTCTTATCCTCAAAGTCAGAAGAGAGCAAATAAGTCTTGTTGGGCTGGAGGCCAGAACCTCCCCCTCCTCTCCTCACTCCTAGTTCCGACCTAAACACTTTAATCCCTTCCTTAACCGGATTACCATATGACTAGGGCACAGCACCGGATCAGGGTGCAAAAGTCCGTCTTGGCCTTTAGCCTTCCCGGCCCAAATCTCACACTAACTTTTCCCCATCTCCCAGCCTCCAATTCCACGCAAGGCACCAGGCACGGATCAGCCCCCCACTTAGCCACCCTCCCACTCAGTGATCTCATCGGCCCCACCTGGTCCCAGAACTAGCTGAGTTACTATCGGGGAGATGAGCTAAGAAACGAAACAAAGGCAGACTCGGGGGAGTCGGCTTAGCCAGGAGGGAGAGCGAGGGAAGGATGACCGCGGTGCCCTAGCGCTCCGAAAGGGCAGCGAGGGGCACAAGGGCTCGCCAGCGCGCTGGAACTGGCAGGCAGACGGGGACCAGCAGGAGGGCGGGAGGAAAGTCGCGGAGAGGCATTTGGGGAGAGTTGGGGACGCACTCCCTCTGGCGTTGGAGAGTCCCCGCGCCCAGGTAGCGGTGGCGGCCCCGGGCCCGCGCCTACCTGTAGCACCAGCGGCTCGGGGTTGAAGGCCAGGGTGAGCAGCAGCTGCATGCGCTCCGAGTCCTTGAGGTTGCGCAGCAGGAAGCTGCCCGAGTCCTTGGTCTCGGCGTAGCGGCGCACCAGGCGATCGAGCAGGCGCTGCGACGGGCAGTGCACCAGGTCCGACCAGCCCTCCACCGCCTCCGGCGTGAGCAGCCGCACGTCGCCGTTGAGGCGCGCGAACTCGGTGCGGGGCATGGCCTGGAGCAGGTCGCAGCGCGGCCGGCCGGTGGCCCGCTTGCAGATGCTCTGGTCGAGCTGCGCCAGCTCGCGCTGCGAACCCAGGCGCTTGAGCACCACGCGCCGGCGGCCGCCCTCGCGGGGCTCGCCGTACTGCGCGAAGTACACGTTCTTCACGTTGAGGAAGTCCAGCAGGCGCAGGCGGCCCCACGCCTCGAAGCCCACCTGGCCGTTGAGGAAGCGGCGACACCAGCTCGTGCCGAAGCACGCCGGGCACTTATTGAGCTGCAGGAAGCGCCGGTCGGCGAGCTCGTTGCGCTGCCAGGAGGCGAGCAGCGACGGCGAGTGCAGCAGCATCAGCACCAACAGGCTGCCGAGAGCCGCCAGCTTCAGTGCACGGGACAGGCGGCCCAGCTTCAGGGGCACCAGGCGCCACATCCCGCCCGCGCGCGGCAGCCGCCGCCGGGGCCGGGGCCGGGGCGGCCGAGCGCACCCCGAGCCGCCCCACGGCGCCGAGGCCCGCGGCGCAGACGGAGGGCGGCAGCGAGGGAGCCCGCGAGCGGGCTGCTCCGACCGAGCGCCGCGACTTCCCTCCCGGGCGGCAGTCTCCACAACTCCCGGCGCCCTCCTCCGAGCTCCCCGCCCTCCGACTCCGCGGGCGCCGCCTCCTTGCCCGCCAAGTTATAGAGGCGCGGAGGGGGGGGGAGGAGGAGGAGGCAGAGCGGGACCCGCGGCCGCGCGCACGCGCACTCCCGCCCGGGACGCTAGAGCCGCGCCGGCTGGTCCCGGGCGAGCGGCGCGCGGGCGCGGGGGAGTGAGGAGCCCGGACGCCTCACACTCGAGAGGCTACGGTGTGAGGAGGGAGGGGAGGATGCGGCGGGCCCCACGCGCGGGCGCGCCCGAGAGCGAGGGGCGGAGCCGGGGGCGGGTCGAGCGCGCCGCCGGGAAGCGTCAGCGCGGGCTGGCGGGGAGGGGATTGGGGGGTGGATGGAGGGCGCGCCCGGGAGGGCGGAGCTCGCCCGCTCCGCAGCCGGAGACCCTTCAGTAGCGGCTACTCTGGTGTGAGTCTCGGGCTCGGCGGGCGCGCCGCGGTCCTTTGTGGAAAGGGTCTCCGAAGGGGGGAGGGCGGAGAGAAGTGCGCTGCGGGAGCACGGCCGCTCTTCCCGGGAGCGGGCGGAGGCGGAGCCCAAGCCTGGGGGCGGGGCGGGGCCGGAGAGGGGCGGGGTTAGAGCCGGGGGCGGGGCCGCGCCGCCTGCTCCGGGCCTTATACGGTGTGGCGCGCGCGTGGGCAGGGGCGGGGTCTTTTGAGTGGCGGGAGCCTGGGGTCGCGCGCTTCCTACCGCGGTAGGGCCTGTGGGCAGAGGGTGCGAGAAGCTGCGGCGGTTCCGGGCCGGGTGGCCGCTGCGGGGCTGGCGTTGTTTCTGCCCAGGCATTTATTTACAGTTTCGCTGAGTGAGCACTGGCACGATGGGATCCTGGCGTCGAGAAGCTTTCCTCACCGGCGCCGCCAGGCGGGTCCCTGAGGAGCCCGATTCCCAAGGCTTCGCACGCTGGGCCCAGGCCTGTCTAGCGTCCAGGACGAGTTGCTGTAGCGATGGCCTTGGGGACCCAGGCAGTCAGGTGCAGCACCTGTACTGGCTGATGATCTATCTCAAACTGACACCAGACTACGGAAATAACGGGCCTGAAGCGCGTTAAGTTTTAGAAGGTCTGGGCTCTTCAGCAGCAACTTCAAAATAGGTTCTATTAGAGCACTTTTAACTTTTAGCACACTTAGTCTGATGCTAAGTCTAGCTCCTGGGACGTTGTCAAACATGCTTTTACTGCGTTCGTTCTAGAGGTCAAACAGCAAAAAAATCACAGCAACGGGCATGTAAAGATACTCTCTACGGAGACAAAGAGAGTTATCTATACTAGATTGTGAATCACTTTCCTGAATTTGATGGTAGCATGTAGACCCGTGCTCTGGAAGAATACTGGTGAGGTTAATGTTTTGTGCTTTGTTCTATAGGAGTTCATACTTTGGAAGAAATCTTAGAATATGTTCAACGTGGTAGTAATTTTTACCTGCTGCCTCAGAATACAAATTTGAAGACGTTAAGAAGTTATACAAAGATACACCACTTATACTGAGATATGTGACTGACACCGGAGAGCATCCCGTGCTCCTTTGGCAGGATTTTTATTCACCTTGCCCATCAGGCATCCCACAAGTCCTTATGATAGGTTATATAAGCAAAAACTCAAACGAGGTTTCCTCTGAAGTGTCTGGAGGAACTGGAGACTTGAACTGCATGGTTCATTTGTGCTGCTTTGGCAGTTGTAAACGAAGCGAGTAATTATTAACCTGTGTATTGTCTTCAACATCCCTTCTACATGCTTCAGAGATCGGCTTAGTCCTAGACAATGTGTGGGGTTGCTTTAAAACAAACAAAACCATGATATTCTATTGGCATCATTTTAAAACCAAAATAGTCAATTGGCATCATATTATCAGTATAAACAAAAAAGGTTATTACTCTCTACAAGTTGCTTGGAGGAATTCTTTGCTTAAAAATTTTATATTTGTTTAACAGTTCTGAAATTAGAGGGTGAGTCTGGTTTTAGTGACCTTTCTTCCTCAGTCTCCTAAGAGTGAAGTGAGCATTTGGAGACATGACATACCACATTCAGCTGTCTGAAATTCTTTGCAACTAAATTTTCTAGATATTAAGATAGTCTTGAAGAATTTATAACACTTGTAAAAGAAAACTTTTAGAGACACATTCGATAAATTCAGAGATTGGAAAAGATCAGCAAATATTAATGTACTTTTCTTCCCCCTTTCCAGTAAACTACGGGATGCTTTTAGCTAATGGATCATAAACTGCACGCCAAAGTTCTTGATCATTATTTTAAATAATGGCAATGTAATTTCCAATGTGATTGCTATTGTTACAAATGTGTCTGGCACAATTAAAGACTGCAGTGGTTTAAATAATTTTTTCATTTATCTATTTGTGTGTATGTGTGTGTGTGTGTGTTTGAGCACAGACACACACACACACACACACACACACACACACACACATACACACACTGGGTGTCACCGGGGTTGGGGTAGAAGTCAGAAGACAACTTGGAGAAAATCACTCTACCATGTGAGTTCATGGCTATTAAGAATTCAGGCAGCCAAACTTGGCTGCAAGCATCATTACTTGCTGAGTCATTTCACCAGCCCAAGATCACAGTGTTTTGCTACCAGTCCATTTAAAAAATATTTAATTTTAATGTTTATGTGTGTTCAATCCTGAGTGGATGTGTGTGAACCATGTCCATGCAGGAATCCTGGAAGATCAGAAAAGTCACCATCTGATTTCCATTGTACTGAAGTTACAGAGTGATTTGAGCTACCATGTCAGTGCTTGGAACCAAACCCTGATCCTCTGCAAGAGAAGTGAACATTTACATTTATCCAGTCTCCTAAGACATATGCTTTTGTGGTCACTGTTTTCTATTTGCATTGCCTGGAGGCATCTTTGTTGCCAAAATGGGGAGCTGAATGCTATTAGTTTCTAGAAGGATACTACATTGTACAAAACACTCCACCAGGAAATTAACCAGCCCCAAATGTTAATGAACAGTTTAAAATGCCTATAAAATTCTCTCATGTAGTCTGGTTTTTAAGCATAAAAGGTTGTTATACTATTTATGGAGAAAAAGGACATTTAAATGCTATCTTATGGACACAATGTTCAAAATGTGAAGTCAATTTGGAAGAATATCTTCCATTTCACTATTATTAGTAAACAACTGACTTACAATATAATTACCCCAACTTGGGATAACAGAAATATTTTACTGAATATATTTCTTAATGAAATTAAGAAAATGCTTCCTTACCTAAATCAGCTCTTCATATTTATTCTATTAAGTGTTCTGCCATTTATGTCCTGGGACAGTGTATCCATCATGATTCAATATAGGTACAGGATATCCCTGTTGTAAAGACTATAAAGGCAATTTGTGTGCACCATGGTACCCAGAGCAGTAGCTGATGCAAGTGATTTTCCGGTTAGTGGTTGTTCAATGAACAGATAAATAAACAACTGAAGGAATAAACCCTTTAGGATGAAAATAATGTAATAATCCAGGCTACAAATGGTATTAGCAGTGAAGTTACTGAGATACATATCCAGAGTGTGCCAGTTCTATGAATGTGAAAGACAAACATCAGAGATGGTGTCTCCTAGTAATAGCAGAAGCTGCTCCCATAAAGTCTCATCAGCATGATTGCCCGAAAATGAGCTGAACAAGGACACCACCAATGGACATGCCAGAGTAGGTGGAGAAGCCCATGAGCCTCAAACCTGCAATATGGGCAACTGAGGAAAGCTGGGAGCAGGAGAGGTGGTCTTCCTTAGGAAAGAGCACACCAATTGGTTTTCCAGCACCAAATGGTCAGCCCTGAAAGCATACATACAAGTAACATAATATGGACTGAACGTGTTATATTTAGGAATATATGTATGCATACAATAACAATTAGTGAAAAAAGAGCCCTTAAATTTGGATGAGAGTAGGGAGGGCTAGGTAGCAGGGTTTGAGGGGAGGAAAGGGAAAGGAGGAATAGAGTAATTATATTAAACACAAAAATGTAAGCAATTGGGAGACAGGGTGTGGCACTAAACAGTAGAACTGACCCTGACAATATGAGTGATGGGTCCCAGCTCTGAGAGCCTGAGAGCAGGAACACAGTCCCCTGTTCCTTGCTGGAGGCTTCATTGAATGAGCTAGCTGAGGCAGTGCTGGAGAGCTCACATACCTAGTGAAGATGAGGGAAAGCTAACCAACCCAGCCACCCAGGCCGAGAACCAGGCCTATGAGTTGGCCTATCCCAACATCACCTTATCTGTGAACTGTTGGACCATGTAAGAGGGAGGAACCTACAGATCCAAAACAGAGCCCATTATCAGTGTAGCAGAAACCAGAGGCCTCAAGCCAGCCCAATGAACCGTGGCAATGAACACTTGCAAGTAAAGACGAATAGACTTAAGGGTAAACTCGGTCTTTCAACAGGCCACATTGTAGCTTCCACAATAAGATTCTTCCTTTTTTGTTTTGGTTTTGGTTTTTTTGTTGTTGTTTGTTTTTTAATTTGGTTTTGTTTAGCAGAAGAGGTTGCAAGGACAGAGGGAGCACTGGAAGGGATACGGAGGTAAGTGGGATAGGAATTCACAATGTGAAATCCATGAAAAACACAATAAAAGTAAAATAAAAAATAAAGAAGGTGAAAGACACTGTGGTTCTGAATTTGTAAATCCATTTTTTAAAAAATCAGCTTGCCTGAAACAGTAGCCATTGCTCTGAACACTGTGGTAAGAATATATCTTTGGGGCAGGAGAGATGACTCTGGATGAAAGCAAAGCACTTCCTGCTGAGGCAGAAGATGGGTTGGGCACCAGCACCCATGCTAGCTCACAACTGCCTACCTCTAGCTCTAATATATCTGACACCCTTGCCTGGCCTCTGCAGCAGCTACACCTGTACATACTCACATATAAGCGCACATACATACACATACATTTTAAAGAATAAATCTTTTTATTGGACTGCAGACTACCTGTTGGAAGTAATGTACCCACTTCCAGCCTTGCCTATAAGATGTCCTTTGTGGTTTCCCTAGTTTTTGGATAGGTTAAATGCAAAGAACCTCAAAATATTGTAAAGATGCTGTAAAGGATGGCTTGAACTAATATATTTTTACAGCACCAGTATATCTAGTTGCTACCTTGTATTTCTACACCTAGAAGACACCACGGCTTTTCACTAAATAAAAATAAAGTTATCTTTAAAGTACCTGGCATCAGTTCAGGTACCACATACCAGAAACCTTTAAGCTTCAGATGAAAGGCAGAGATGTCTCTTTGGAAGTATGAAACAGAAACCATTTTCAGTCACCCCCTGGCCCCCATGTACTAGTGGCTACCATGTGCTTCAGAATCAGTTCTGACTTTTAATATTTTGGGGGTCACCCAATCATTAATCACATTTTAATTGTGTTCCTTTGGCACTTTTTTATATTCTCTATCTCTTACTACAAGGTTTCTAGTTCTACACAGAACCCTAGCTGGTCTCTGCATGCTTATATTTTAATTATAAGTTTTATTGCTACCTCCTGGTAGTATTTCTGCCATTTTTGTTACTAAGTGTATGTCACTTGCAACTCTCTCTCAAATAATTTCTTTAGCCAAAATGACAAGTTATAATTTTCTTTCTTGTAAAATACAAGGGACATGTGTGTTATTGTTTCCCTCTTCTTAAAGACCTAAAGAATTTGTGTTAGTGGAATTCATTTTTTTCCTGATTGGTGATAGTAACTATTGATAACCAAACTATATCAATGTATTACAATGATGTTGAGCAGTAAAGTAACACCACATTTTACATATCAAAGTTCAGTTGACCTGCTCTAAAAGTCTCAGTCTTTACCAAATCACTGTTGACAAAATGATGGATGCTGTACTCCTCTGAGAGCTTCCTTATGGGATTATTTAAAATTCTCCCTCCCCATCTATTTGGAGTGTCTGTACTGCCTTGGCCCAAATCAAATATTGCTTCAGGCATTTGGACAATGTAATGACCTACCTTGTCTTTTAGGCTTTGGCTCTGGCAAAGTTTGAAGGGACCTTCTTAAATGTTGTCATCGCCCATTATTATAACCCTGGCTCATATTCTCCAGGGATAATTGCCGGGTTGATTCTATATCCAGGATCGTCCAATCATTCCCTTAAAGGGGAAAGAAAAAAATACGTTTTTCTGGGGAAAGTATACATTTTTTTCACATAAGGATTATGCAACCTATGTCATGTTGCTTTTCTGATTCTCTTTAACATCTTTTGAAAGATGGGAGACACAGTCCCTTATCCTATAGAGAACAGCTCATTTTCCTTAAAATGTTATGGCTTTTTATGTATGGGAGGCTTATCAAAACAGTGACTGTCTTAGTTTCCCATGGATGTCTTAAGGTACCACACCCCAACCGTGGTGGCTTTAAAAGTATTTTGAAATCTGTTGTCTCAGTTCTAGAGACTACAAGTCTAAAGGAACTATGCTGGCAGTTTCAGCCCCCTGCTTGCCTCTAGACAACCATCCCTTGCCTCTTTCTATCTTCTGGTGTTGGCCAGCATCTTTTTCACGCTTTGACTGTAGACACATGACTCTGTAACTCTTTGTCTTCACATGGTGTTCTCCTTGTTCCTGCTGAAAGCATTTCTCCTTTTGAAAATCACAACTCTAGACTAGTAGAATATAACATACAGGAATGACAATTATTTCACTGTGTGTCCTCCAATTACAGGTGCTGGCAATAGGACAGTATTAGGAGATGGGGGCTTGAAGGGAGGATGTGGGCATAAATCCTCCTTTGTGAATGGGACTATGTGCTAGTTGAAGACAGCTTGATGGAAGGAGTTCCTCTCTTGTTTTTCTGTCTCTAACTATATGAGGAAATAGCTTTTCTCTGTTTCATACATAGGTAGAGCAAGGTACAATCTTGACTTCTAAACCTGATAGTTCTTTGATTTCCCAGCCTCCAGGATTGTGATGAAATATATTTCCATTGTTGATGAACTGACTAGTGTGTGATATTCTGTGAAATCACAGAAACAGACTAAAAGAGATGGAAGCAAAACATTTACTAGTATATCACTAGATGTCATAGTGAATGATGCAACTCCCATGTTCTCCATGAGGTTGGGTACATCTAAATCAATATACAGTATATGGTGATGTTTCTCCTTTAAGCACAGTTCATAGATCCAGGAAACAGTTGGTGGGTGGAAATGGGAAGTTATGCTTGACGAATCATAGTGTTTTCTGGCCAGTTAAAAGTAACTCTCCTTAAACATTAAGTATAAGGTGATTCAAGATGGCATGCAGGCACAGTCTGCTAGGATCTCCAGGGAGTAAGCTTGGGAAATCTGAGTAATACATATA